CGACGCACTCTAAAAATATTTTAGTGCACTCTAAACATGTTTGTATGCACTCTTAATATGTTTCGACGCATTTTAAACATGTTTGGATGCGCTCATTTATGGATTAGTGTTTCATTCATTACATATTTTGCATACTTAAATGTGTTATGAAATCCATGTATTGTTATGAACAATACTAAACTCCCTAGTCATGTATCATTGTGGGAATAATGATATACCAAGACTAGTATGATGTGTGATTGATAATCATATAGATGATCATAGGTATTGGATACGATCACAATCATAGGTATTCGTTGGAGAACGGAATACTGGATTGACCCGTATGAGATTGTCACATGGACTAGCGTCATGACTTGAATCTCATATGGCGGTTCCATGATTGGATCCTAAGAAATGAGATATCTACGGAATCTAACATGAGGAGTTGCGTACTTTGATTACGTCAAACGTCCTGCGTAACAGGAGGACTATAAAGGCGTGTATCAGGTACGAAACGAATCATGTGCTGAATTGTAGATAGTCAAGACGGGATTTGTACCTCTCGTAAGAGAGAGAGATATCGTTGGGCCCCTCGTGTGAGCGAGCCTACAGGGTCACACACACAGGAGAGGACAAATGCGCGAGAAGAGACGAGAAAATCCCTGTGGAGCGGAGGCCAGACCGATCGGTCCAGCCAACCCAGACCGATCGGTCCAGACACGTGGACCGGTCGGTCCGGAGGTAACGTGTGATAGTCACTCGGTCCGGAAATTGCTCAAGACCGATCGGTCCAAGCCTGGACCGATCGGTCCAGATGTCGGGATTTCCCAAACTCGCTCTAATTAGGATTGTAAGTGGGATTAACTTTAGGGAACGCCTCCTAAGCCTCTTGGTACGACTTTCAGACCCTATTGACAGGTTTTGAGAGTGAAAAAAACCTAAGAGTTAGATCCCTGAAACCCTTGCGCAAAGAAGAACGTGTTCTTCAGTCCTAGCAGACAAGTTACAACCGTTGGAATCCTTTCCGCCATGTGGATACGTGTAGAGGGCAAGGTATTCTTCCTGCCTACAGTGATCGGACGAACACATCAATTGATACAGACCCCAGATCGGTTGAGGTAAGCGTTCTAACGTTTCTACAAGATCATGCATGATAGGTTTTAGGGTTTTATCAAAAATTTTGTTTTACGTCCGCTGCGCAAACCCTAGAACTGATCTCTTAGGAATTAGATTCGCTCATGAGATATCAGGAATTCCAGCAAAAACAACCAAACAAAAGAGGATGCGCCATCGCGATACAACCCGACCGCCGATTTCTCCGCCTCTGATCGCCTCCATCACCTTCAATTTCTCCATTCCCATCTCTCTCTCACTTTCTGCCTTGGAGAAGATAGCGCTTTGCCAAAAACAACACGATAATGCAAGAAGAAAAGAAGGAAGAAGGGTTTTGTAACAACCCTAAATCTTAAACCAAAACTGATTCATTAATAACGAATCGAACCGTCCGATTTACCAAAACAGAACTTTTAACCCTCTAAGAGAATTAGAAGGTTTCTCTTCCTTAACCAACCTCAACAATAAAGTTTTTTTATAGTGAAAAGATTATAGCCATTAATTTAAAAGAGATAATAACATTTTCCTAAATAAATTTGTTAAAATGTGATTTTTTCATATACAAATTTTTAACTTGACTTAAACTTTTACTGAAATTCAAAATTTCCCAAATGTCTAAACCAATTTGTAAGATTATTAGTAATTTTCTACATAATCGGGAACGATATTAAATTTAATCGATTTCTATTAACAGATTTGCTGACGTGAATTAACACGTATTTTTTTAGTCACGTAAGTCAACCACGTCATAAATTTAAAAAAAAAAAGAAAATAAAAAATTGAATAAAACTTCCAAAAATCGAATTTCAGACCTAGGTTTCCACAAATATTAATGTATTGCGATATTTGTTAACGATAAAAGCAATGTCAGGGCGAGTGACGGAGTGAGGAGGAGGTATTAGAGGCTGTCCAAAATTTGTTGGAACTCGGTAGCACCATCAAGAAGAGTGCAAGAGTAAAGGTGGAGAACCGACGTGGAGGGCAAGGGGGCCAGCATGGGATTTGTCAAGGCCATATTGTGCCGGCAGAGTGTAACATCCCAAAGTTGCTACAGAATGATGAAACTGCCCTCACACTCCAACACGAAATCTTTTAACGTGTTTTGTCTTCACTCTCATACATCCCAGAAAATACTTCCCAGAAGGTCACCCAAAACACACAACTTTGGAATTCTCTCGGGATAGATAATCGAAAAGGTAGATGCATCTTGTTGGTATGAGTAACTCAATCAATTCCTTTAAGTTATCTTTGACTGTGTAGTCCCATAACTACACAACCTTCGGATCTCTTTCATTCTGGTGCGTTCGATTCATCTCAGTACCCCCTACCTAGAAACCTCGTCAGGATTCACCCCTTGTCCGTGTCTCTCGCACCACCGATCTCTCCATGCCCTCCTCGGTATCCGGGCTGTCACAGAGAGAATGTCTATGATGTAACGTCGTTGTGTGAGAGAATTCCCTAAGTCGTCCAGGTAACTTCAATGCTAAGGAAGAAAGCTAGATCACTGAGATCCTTGACGGAGAAACATTGAACTAAACGATCAATGAACTCTTGTACCGATGCCTTATGACTACCGATGATAATGATGTCATCCACGTAAACAAAGAGATAGATGACGACATTATCACGGTGGTAGATAAACAAATAGGTGTCGGAGAGAGAGTTAATAAATCCGGAATAGAGGAACAACTTGCAAAGCTCATTGTACAACGCTCTCTGAATTTATTTAAGACTATATAGGGCTTTGTGAAACATGCACAGAAAGGAAGGATTATCTCGTTCGATGATTCCTGACGGTTGGGCAAGATAGACATTTTCATGAAATGTTTTGAAGAAAGACATTGTTGACATCAAGTTGTCGAAGAGTCCAACCTTTTGACACGACAATATTTAGAACTACTCGAACGGTGAGATCTAGGAACGATATGATCAATACTTAATAAGATTATTTGCATCAAATTTATCGATATTTAAAACGTAGAAACAACTTTTTTATCCAAAAAATTTTAAAAATACGAACACGAATAAGATATCCATTACCAATCTAAAAACAAGTGAATAAATTTGAGAAAGATACGAAAAAAATATAACTAGAGATTTTGTTATGGATATATTAGACAAAATATATTTATAAATAAAATTGTTTTGGATTGTTAAAAAAATAGTTTACAAACAAATCTAAAATACCCATCTGATAAATACATTTTAAAAATATTCCGACAAACTTTCTAAACGATATAAAGTGATTTTGGAAAAAAAAACATGGAAAACAAATCAAAATAAATAAATGACGCGCGACAACCATAAGTCCGAGGGTACGTTTTACCATTGAATACGGGAAATATGAAATAAAACCCTAAACCTATGGAACAACGACTGACCCACTTATCACATTAATTATATATATCTAACCCATCACCGTTTCTTCTTCTTTGACCTTTTCTTTCTTTTTCTTTTTTCTCTTTAGGTGTTGCGTATTCTATTGAAAAGGTTGTCATAATTATCGCCTTGAAATTGGGTTGATACAAAAGTTCGAGGCATATAAATTTATATCTCAGATCAAATATGTGAATATGAGTTTTTGGAATATATTATATATGTGTATATATATATGCAATAGTATATTGTGTCTTTGAAAAGAAAAATATTGTTTCATTCTTTCAGTACTTATAGTATTTTCTCATGCAAACCTTTTATTCTAGTGATTTTAAATCTGTGAAATGATTTAAAAATTTGTAAAAAAAATATTCATATTATCATAAATTTACATTTTTTAGATACTTATATTAAGTAATTAAATTGTATTCTATCTTTTTATATATATCTTAACTCCATATTCTTATAATTATCTGTTTTGAATTTTAATTTTCTGTATTGCATTTGTGCGGCGAAAATGTATGAGAATTTAGAAATCTTCAAACTCCATCTTCTAATGCGTTCATATATGATTTTGCCAATTGTTGATAGTCGGAGGTAAAGATTAAAGAATAATGATACGCAGATTTAAAGGTAAATAATAAATAAATTGGTTTTACGATAATTCAAAATTCCATGGGCCGGCACAAATCCGAGAAGTACTCATGGACTCATGGAAAAAAAAAAGCTTTTATTGATGTTTAGAGGTTCAAGTCATCGTGAATAAATTATTTAACCAGAATATATTTATTTGAAGAGTTTAGATTTATTTTTTTTTATTTTGATACACATATATATTTGATTTAGATTTTATTCATATTTTATTTGAATTTATTTTACTAAAAAATATTTATTTATTTATTTATTTATTTTTATAATGAATTTTGATTCAATTAATTTATTTTTTAAAAATATATTCTATTATTTTTAAATAAAAATTAATTTGAATATAAAAAGATATTATAGATTTTATTAAATTTCTTTTTTACCTAATTTAATTAGAATAACATAATTTAATCCAAACGATTATTATTTTATATTTAATTCGGTTTCGATTTTTATTAAGAAAATTTAGATTTTTTTTTAAAAATTAATTATCAGTTAAAAAATTTATTGTATATCTATGACACTCGCGAGGAATGTCGTGGACAGTTAGTATTCCATGTCAACCATGCACTTTAATATTTGATTCTAATATCATATACTTACATCGATAATATTTTATTATATTTACATTTGATTTCTTTTTTGAAAATGCGAAATTTTTATATTTATTTATATTATATTATCATAACTACAACAAAATTCTTTGTCCACGTCAGATTTATACGGTCCAAATTGAAAATTTTGAATATGTGGATCCAAAATGTTGTAGCAAAATGATAATTCATTGCGCTTGTCTCCTTTATGACGAGAGCAATTCTGGCGTGACTGTCTCCGCAAAGCTTTTCTATAAATAAACCCTCTTTCTTCCTCGTCTCAGAGCACAGCCGCCGGAAACAATGGCTTCCGCGCCATTTTTATCTCTACTTGCCGCCACTCTCTCGCTCTCTCTCCTCCCCACCCTCACTTACTCTCGCTCTCTCTCCCCACCATCCGAAACGACTATTCTCGACGTCGTTTTGTCTATTCAGCAGACCCACCAAATCCTGTCATTCGACCCGACCCGGACGACCCTCGCCCACCGACCCGACTCGGAATCCGACCCGGGTTTCCTCAATTCTTCGTCGTTCTCTCTGGACCTCCATTCTCGTGAAACCCTCGTTGAATCGCAGCACAAGGACTACCGGAGCCTGGTTTTGGCCCGACTCGAGCGTGATTCAGTCCGAGTCGATGGAATCACCGCCAAAGTCAGACTCGCCGTCGAGGGCGTCGACAGATCCAAGCTCCAACCCATTTACGACGAAGATACCCGGATCCAACCAGAGGATCTGAGCACACCGGTCGTGTCCGGAGCGAGCCAAGGAAGCGGTGAGTACTTCTCACGAATCGGAATCGGAAATCCGCCGAAGGAGATGTTCATGGTTCTGGACACGGGGAGCGACGTGAACTGGATCCAGTGTCAACCTTGCTCCGAATGCTACCAACAATCCGACCCGGTTTTCGACCCGGCATCGTCTTCCTCGTACTCTTCTCTCTCATGTGCTTCGTCGCAGTGCTCGGCCCTCGAGGTTTCCGCCTGTCGGGCTGACAAGTGTCTGTACCAGGTCAGTTACGGTGATGGGTCGTTCACCGTCGGTGAGTTCGCCACTGAAACGGTGTCGTTCGGGAGCTCCGGCAAGGTTAACGGCGTCGCTTTGGGCTGCGGACACGACAACGAGGGGTTGTTCGTTGGATCCGCTGGTTTGCTCGGTCTCGGTGGTGGTTCTCTGTCTCTGACCTCTCAGATCAAAGCGAAATCGTTCTCGTACTGCCTCGTGGACCGTGACTCGGGCAGATCGTCGAGCCTCGACTTCAACTCGGTCCGACCCGGCGGTGAGGTCACCGCCCCTCTCCTCCGCAACCGCCAGATCGACACGTTCTACTACGTGGGTCTCCCCGGATTCAGCGTCGGCGGCCGTCCGGTGGCGATCCCCCCGTCGGTGTTCGCCGTCGACGAGTCGGGGAGCGGCGGAGTCATAGTAGACTGCGGGACCGCCGTGACTCGGTTGCAGACTCAGGCCTACAACTCGCTCCGCGACTCGTTCGCTCGGCTGACGACTCACCTGAGATCGGCCACGTCGACCATATCGCTCTTCGACACATGCTACGACTTCTCGTCTCTCTCCACCGTGAGAGTTCCGACGGTGGCTCTCCACTTCGCCGGCGGAAAGTCCCTCGACCTCCCGGCGAAGAATTACCTTATCCCCGTCGACTCCGCCGGAACTTTCTGCTTCGCCTTCGCTCCGACGTCGACGTCTCTATCCATCATCGGCAACGTGCAGCAGCAGGGGACACGTGTCAGCTTCGACTTGGCCAACAATCTTGTCGGATTCTCACCGAATAAGTGTTAAGAAAAAAAAAAGTTTCTCACATGGTGATTTCTTTTATTTACAGTCAGTGTGAATTTTTTTATTTCTATTTCTTATTTTTATAGGACTAGATTGTAACTTTAAAAATGTGGGGTTGATTGTGTGAGTTTACTATTTATTACAGTGGGAAATGCAAATGTATGTTATTTTTGTGAAAATAAAATGTTAGAACTCAGTAAAGCTTTTTCTACATAGCTCATTGACTTCGTTTCTTCATTATACGACGACACGGGAAAAGCAAATGTGGATTTACTTTTTTCTTTTTTCTGGTTCTTATTTTTATTGTAAATTTAAACACGTGGTGGGGTCGATTGAGATAATTTTAGTATTATTGGGGTGCTAAATGCGAATGTAAGTTAGTTTGAGGGGGGAAAAAGTAAAAGTTAGATAAAAGCAGGGCTATCACCGTAACTAAAGAAAAGCTCCATGGGCCCTTGACTTTTCAAATCAATTTTTGCAGTTGTCCTTGACGTGGAAATTGACCTGCAAAATATGATTTGATTACGTTATAAATTTCTGAATTCAGTAAATTTTATGATTTTTAATGTCATTTCGTCTCTTTTTTTAATACAGATATTTTGACATTTTTTAGTAGTTGTTCTGATTATTCATTTTTGTAGGAATTTAAATAAAATCAGAAAAATATTTGCGGAAGTTGAGTGGCATCTTATTATAATCCAATCCCAGTAATTAAAATTTTAATCCTAATACGTAGGTATCTTTAATTACAATTACAATGATTTAATTTTTTTTACTATTTTTTTAAGTATTTGTTTTTTTTTGTTTCATACAAAAGTCTAATTTTGTAAATACTATCTAAATCCATGTGTATCTAAATTGGGGCAACTTCCAAATTACCCAAATGTGCTACAAACACTTCTCCTGCTACCATCTTCATTTAAAAAAAAAATTTCTAACTTCCAAATTTCCAATCTACCCTCTTCCATAACATATTACCAAAATATCCTTAAGATATAATTTTTAAATTTAAAAAAATAAAAAACAAAATTTCCCCTTTTTCTTGAATTTCTCTCTCCTCCAATTTTTAATTTTTTAATTAAAAAAATAAAAAATCAAATTTTTCCTTTATTCTAAAGTTTCTATCTCCTCCCATTTTTTGCACGTTTCTCTCTCTTTCGACCATTATTTTCGATTAAGATTTCTCTCTCTTTTATATTTTCTCTCTCCTATTTATCTTGATATTTTGTCCTAAAAATTTGCAGAAATCGGATGAAATCAAAGGAAAATCAATGAGAAAACTAAAAATATGTAAGCTAGTGTGGAAATCCCGATTTTTTTCCATGCACATTGATGTTTTTGTGGTTTTTTTTTCTTCTAGTTGTTGTTCTTTCCGCAGTTCCTTCGTTTGTAATATATTTCGGTCACAACCTATAATTTTGCTCATGGAAGTATTGTTGAACGTAGTGGAAAACGAGATGATGTATATTATGAAGAGAGAACAACTAATTTAGAGTGAAAAATAACCAGAATTTCTATAATAATTGTGTGGTATATTTGTATACTAACGTGTTACAAACCATTTGTACAATAATATCCAAAGACCCTAATAATTTTGTAATTGTTTGTACAATAATGTGTTAAAAATTTTGGATAATATTGTGTCTGTATCATATTAATTAATATTATACTTTTAACCTTGTATTTTCGTATATATCTGACTCGTGTTGTACACTAAATAAATTGACTCACATGAGCCAACGTTGTGACCCATTGTGACCAGCATGTGACCGTGTGACCTGTAACATCCCATAAAACGTTAAAAAAAAAACAAATAAAGAAAGAAAAAAAAAAAGGGGAAAACATGTCTCCATGTTTCCTTCACCCACTCTCGTGCCCCACCCCCTATGCTACTCACCCACCAATCAACGTCATCTCCTTCTTCTTTTTATATGCCTTACCTCTTCTCCTCCTTCTTAATTTCTCTGCGCTCTCTCCCTTACTCTAACTCTTGCTCCAGCAGAAACTCACAACCAAGCACTTGATCAAAGAACGGTAAGAAAATATCCTTCCTTTTCTTTTCCTTCTCATTATCCTGTAATTTCTTTAACTCTCTCATAAGAAATCATTACTTTCTTCATCTGAAACTCCCTCTAGTTATTATCACGAACGGAGTCGGGCGAAGAAAAAACTCAATCCAAAATTAACCCACGACCCTCTAAGAGACAAAAGAACTCAACGGTGAGTGAATCAAGTTCAATTCGAAAAATTCAATTTCCTTTGATTCTTGGTGATTTCGACATGTTTTCATTAAATTGATGTTTGATTTATATTATGGAATGACTTTTGTGAATTTTAGGTTTAACATGTTGAATCTTGATGAGTTTTGAATGTTTTTATGGAATCACGAGATTCGTATCGGACCAAATTAATTTCGGTCTGAAATGAACTGAGAATTAAGATATGAAAAATGTGATAATAATAAATTTTTGAAATAATAGTAATATTAATAATAATGATAATAATACTAATAACCATAATAATAATACTTTGAAATTAATAATAGTAATAATAATAATAATAATAATAATAATAATAATAATAATAATAATAATGCTAATGATGATAATGATAATAATAATATTAATAACGATAAGGATGATATAATAATAATAATAATAATAATAATAATAATAATAATAATAATAATAATAATAATAATAAATCGGTCTGAATAGACCGACCTTAATAATTCGGATCAAAGCTAATTAAAATAAAATGCATTCGAACACAGTCTAGATCAGACCGGTTGTAGCTCAGATCAAACCAAATCTAAAAGTAAGTGCGAAACTACGGGACAACCCGAACTGGTAATTTGGCAGACCGAAATCTAATTTGAACAAATTAAATTTAAAAAAAAAAAACAAAAAGAGTTTGGGACGACCGCCCGAAGCCAAAAATTTTAATACTCAATTTGACTTCTACAGACCCAGAGGAGCTCTAGAAAGTTCCCTACTCATCATCCAATTCGCTACCCACTACTCGCAGCCCGCAAGCATAACCCGAGGTGAGTGAACTCGAGTTTAATTCGGAAGTCTATTGACATGGGGTTTGGGTTTGGAGTGTCCTATGATTAAATGACGTATGATTCATGCTTTGAGTGAAATAAGAATTTTTGGTGAATTACCCGTAGCAAATCATGTGTGTTTGTGCGAATTTGGTAGAAAAGATAAAATGTAAAATATACCGAAAATATGGGTCAGACCAGACCCCACGTAGTCTGGACCCAAAATAAAAACAAGGTAAGGGTAAAAACCACGGAACGAACTGAACTGATTTTTCCGGGCGGATCGGGACCAGGTAAGTCGTACCGGAGGTACAATACAGTAGTATGAATGAAAAGACTGAAAGAAAATATATAAAGAAATATAAAAGACTACGCAAGCGGAATTGCATGTATAGTAAATAAACTATATAAATGCATGTGATCGGGGTAGCTGGCATGGCACTAGCGTTAATTCGGAAGGGTTCGGATTAACGTTTAGCGCGTGATTGTAGAAATAGACGTTTGTGAATGATGGCACGATGGTTGCGAGATTGCGTCCCATCTACGGGCCATCTGATCTGGGTCGGATGTCACCCGTATGGGATATGATTGTGAATGTGGCGATAATGTAATCGCGCCAACGTCCGAATG